GTGAAACTCAATATTAGCACCAAACCAGGCCAGTTGCTCATATAATAAATTCAGGTTGAAGGTGAAGAAAATGGAATCAAGTCCCATGAGCCAAAATACGACCTTGAGTATTTCACCTGAATTTTGAGGACATCTCAAGAACAGGTTTGCTACATTGAACAGTTACAGCAGAACACCTGATGAGCTGTGGGAGGACATGAGAAAAGCACCAATGAAGAAGTGATAGGTCATTAGAAAGACAAGAAATTAATAAAAGATCAAAGGGGGTGACAGAAGAGGTTCTCAGAGTTGCTCCTAATTGTAGAGTGGCTAAAGCAAATGGACAAAATGATTAAGTTAAAGAAGTACAAAAAATGTCAAAGGGAAGTTCAAGAAGATAAAGACAATTATTATAATGAGATGTGCAAAGACCTAGAGTTAGAAATACAAAAAATATGAACACACTCAGAATATCTTTAACTGAAAGAAATTAAGAGAACATCAAACCACGAGTTCCAATATTGAAACATTCTATGGGAAAAATTTGAATGATACAGGATGCATTAAAAAAAGATGGAAAGATTGCAAGAGTCACTACACCAAAAATAATTAGTCGGCATTTCATCTCAAGAGGTAGCATAAGAGCAGTAACCAATGGCAATGAATGAAAAGTTCAGTATGCCTTGAAAGCATTTGCCAAACACAAGGCACCAGGAAATTGATAGAATTCCAATAGAAATATTTCAATAAGCTAATGAAGCACTGGAAGCATTCATTCATTTATGGCAGGAAATTTGGAAGGCAGCTACTTGGTCAACTGACTAGAAGAGATCCTTATTTGTACTTATTCCACAGAAAGGGGATGCAACGGAATGCTCAAATTATAGAACAATGTCATTGGTATTACATGCAAGCAAACGGTTGTTGGCATCCAATAGTGAATGGTTGCAGCAATACATTAACAGGGAGATGCCAAAATTTCAAGCTGGACTCAGAAGAGGTTGTGGAACAAGAGATGTAGTTGCTGATGTCAGATGGGTCTTGGCGTAAAGCAGAGAATACCAGAAAGGTGTTTACTTGTGATTCATTGACTATTCCAAGGCATTTGACTGTGGGGACCATAACAAACTGTGGATTACCTTGAGAAGAACGTAAATTCCAGAACATTTCATTGTGCTCATTTGGAACTTGTACATAGATCAAGAGGCAGCATGATTTGTTTCAATTCATTACACTAACTTCAATGCGCCATGACATATCTAGGTGTCTCTCTATCTTTCCTGTTTTCATTTTAATCATTTTACTGGAGGCTCTTGCCATGCGTGTTTTAAAATCAGGAAAGGTGTGTGTCAGGGTTTATATCCTCTCACCATACTTGCCAAATCTGGATGCTGAGCAAATCACCAGAAAGGATGCCGCATGAAGAAGAATGTAGTCAACAACCTGCAACATGCAGACGATGCAAGCTCGCTGGCTGAATGTGAGGAGGACTTAAATGGTTGGTGAAGAGCAAGGGTTGCAGCAGCATGGATTACAAATCAATGTAAAGAAGGAAAAATATTCACACTTGAACCAATAGGTAACATCAATATAAATGGAGAAAAGGTTGACGTTCTTAAGGATTTTGTTTAGCTTGGACCCACAATCCGATGGGAACAGTAGTCAGGAGAACAAAAGACATCTTGCTATGGGTATATTGGCTACGCAATACCTGTTTAGAGTGCTGAAAATAAAGGATATTACTTTGAAGACTGAAGAAAAATCTATACTTTTAAATTGTGGCATTGGCAATGAATATTGAAAATATCATGGCCTCCTGAAAGTACAAGCCAACTTCAACAAACACAGTCCACAAATTCAAAGCAATTTCATTTTCAGACAAGAGTTTCAGGGACTATGGGAATTGTTGGGCTGCTGTTAGGTGCCATCGAGTCAGTGCCATCCCGTAGTGCCCCAGGCACCAAAGAATCAAAGGCTCCCCTTCATGGGCCTTTTTAAAAAAGAATTGTTCCTATGCTTGAGCCTATTGTTGCAGCCGTTGTGTCAACCTACCTCACTGAAGCCCTGCCTCTCTTCACGGCCCCTCTACTTTACCAGCGTGGTGTCCTTCCCAGGGCTAGGATCTCTAAAGAACAGTTCCAGATTGTATAAGACCAGTGAAATGTAGAGTCTCTGAAAATCCTGAAAATGCCGCAAGCACTAATAAATGTTAGAGGCATTAAACATATGGATACTGTCTCTCTTAATATACCTTAATATTTAAACACAGATCTGTTCAAACATCATACATTTTGGGATTCAACTAATCTGGGCTTCTGTTAGCTTATGGACACACCACCTCTGTAGGTAGCAGGCTGGTTCTGGAGCACATGGTTTGGCTAAGGGATCCATCAGAGGCCTCGTGAGCATCCCTTGCACTGATTGCTTTGTGTAGGACTGCGTTATGCACTGATGCTTCATGGAATCTTATGAGCATCATCTTGAGTTTGGAATGACAAATCTAGTAAATGGCTAAGAAGTATTTGAATCCATTTCCCCTGATATCAACATCAATTCATTTTCATTTACAGCAGGCTGATTACTACCTCTATTTTCCCTTCATCAAAATCTTGAAAGTTTTAATCTCCATAACATTGCAATAGACTGTCTCCACAGTGTGAAGAAAGGAAGCAGGACTTATCCAAGGTTGTGATGTTAACACTTCATTATTTGTATCAATCAGGTGTTTCAAATGACATGGATTTCTCATTCAGCTTTGGAAACATGATGTGTCCAGTTAATTTATAGAAAAAATCCCACTGTCTTCATATTTTAAAAACCACCTTGCTCTCACGATTTCCATATTATTAAATGCATTTATAATTAAGCAAATGACATTTGATTAGAGTATGTTTATATATTTCCATACAAAATGTCTACTAAATAGATCACGCAATTTAAGACAAAGATGCTAAATTGTAAATGGCTATGGAAAGACCACTAAACTTATTTAATAGCAATAAAATTTTTAACCAGCTTCTGAAGCAAAGTTTATGATTAGAAATTTATTACTACATACCGTGGAATCTCAGTTGCTCCATTTGCTTTCCATGTTCGTAAACCTTTCTAAGACTTATTTCTTCCACTGTGAATGAGACAATGATTCTAACCTTGCCCAGTTGTTCTGCGGAATCTGACTGGAAGACTAAAGGCGCATGCTTTAGCATACAGATGGCTGTGCAGCATGTCCTCAAGGAGCATTACTCGTCTCTTGTTGCGAGTGACTATGTGAACCAGAACGTTTTTAAGAATATGGAGAATAATTCATCAGGGGCAATCCCCGACTCTATCAATCCTCAGCAATGTGATGTCTCTAAGTGGAGAGACAATGGTGACTGACACATCTAATGGGAACTAAGGAGATCTGCACTCAGAAGAGTCCAGGGGTCAAGTAGACGAGAAAAGAAGTGTGTGTGTGTGTGTGTGTGTGTGGTCTTTAGAATCCTGTTGCTCTCTTCTCTATTGGTCTTCCAAAAACTGCAAAGCAACTGTGTTTGAATTCTCTCCTAAGAGTTTGGAGGTGTTACACAGTGAAAACATCCTTGGAGGCTCAGACTTTCATTAGAGCCTCTTGTCTCAGGTGATCAGACATAAAACTGTTCCTCCCAAAGTCATTTTGCACCTAAGTAGTTTGGCATAATGCTGAAGGAAGGAAGTTTCTGTTGAGTTAATATTCTTTCTAATCTATTTTTGAGAGTAAACATATCCTTCCTTTCCCACATCCCCACCAAAGTAACTTTGTGCACCATAAACCTGGTATTCTAAAATGATGATTCAAAGGCCCAATTTATTTCCTTCCTTTTGCTGAAGATTTGATTAATCATCCAAGGGCTGATTTTACAAGTTCAGCTAAAATATATTTTCCCCCTAAAACCTCAAGCTTCTAAAATGTACCAAATTACTTGATTAAACTACTTATGATTTTATCCTTTCTGTTTTTATGCATAGATCAAAACCAACCACCCCAACGATGTTTTTCAATGCTCTGAGATAAGTTGGGCACTATGGAAGTTGTTTTAATTTTATTAGAACAATTAAGGGGTATCCAAGCAAAAAATATATCCTCATGCATGTATTAAAGTCAATTTCTAATTAACAGTAATTTAAAACAACATCTTCCATTACTTTCTCATAAGGATTCATTTTTTCTGTCTCAGCAAAGAGTAGTCATTGGAGAAAGCATGATCTATTTCCACACAAAGTGTTTTTTCTGTTCTTCCTCCTACCCTCCTTTTATTTCCTGAGAAAACTATACACAAACCATTAACTTTCTAGAAGTGGCATGAGTCTGGAATTTCTTGGTGATAGAATAAAGTTTTCTGACATTGTTTGGTCATTAACATATTGTCAGGTCTTACAACAAGATGTTGAGTATTTAAATCCTACTAACTTTAAAGACGCTGGTATTGTAAAATGCAGAGTTGATTCAAAATTTGTTCCCAGGGATTCTCATCATTTCATTCCATTGCAAAAGTGCCTTTCTGTTCCAGATATACTGACTCAGAATCAAATATCCTGGAGATCTTGTAAAAATGTAGGTTTTGATTCAGTTTATCTCTGGTGGAAAGGCAAGTTTTCAGCAGTGGGTCCGTCAGGATAAGAATCCACAGCCCCATTCTGCCTGGCTATGGGCTCCAGTCCGTCAGATATTTGGTATGCCTTCGATTTTACAATAGATCATTTTTACCTTAAGAATTTCATCTATAGTTTATATTGGGTAGTCTATTACAAAAGCCTATCCTTGCAATCCTTAGCAAACTGAAGCCAAAGTGTGAAACTATTATTGAAATATTGTAACCAAAGTCTGCGTCTTCATTGATGATAATTATTTCTGCTGAGTCGCAGGACTTTAATGAACTTGGACTGTAACTATGTTAATTGCAAATCTAGGATTGAATTGAAATCCGTTTCATACTTTCAAGTGCACAGGCGTGAAGAATGGTAATGTCCACATGATACATACATCTTTTCTAGGTTTGGCAATGGAACAAATATGGTTGTTGCTGCTTCTAACCATGAGAGTGCTTCCAGGCTCCGCACAGTTCAACAGCTACAATTGTGATGCCAACCTCCACAGTAGGTTTCCCGGTAAGTCTGAATCTAATATTGTCTCTAATATTATCCAGAAAGAGTGATGATGTTTGAATAATAAACCATTTAAATACATAGGGAAAAATGGAGTGCAGACTCTACATTAAGTCACAATTAACAATAAGCAAATGACAAAAAGTGTTTTTTTTTTTTTCTGGATCTGCAATTTATATCCACATTACCATATAAAATTCTTCATAATGAAAATTCTAATGATCACTCACAGACTTGAAAAATACTGGCTAGTGTGTGATAAAATTGGCAAAGTTTAATTTCTTTCAAAAATATACCTAATTGATGCCTCTTTTATTTTATTTTTTTCATTTAAAAAATTTATTACTGAGAGTTAATGCATATGTCATATCCTTCCATACTTTAGTCATGTCAAGCAGAATTTTCCAATTGCTACCACAGTTTCCAAAATTTTTTTTTACTCCCTGGACTCCTTGACCTCATCTCCCTTTTACTCTGTAACCCTTGCCCACCCCGCCCCAAACCCTTGTTCTCCTTGCTAAAGGTTCATCAATCCTGAGTTTCATACACCGAAACACGGAAAAACATATAACACGACTTCATGAGGGTGTTCTCATTGTTGTTATTTCTCCATTTCCCCAAATTTCTTGTGCCATACTCTCCAGGGATCCTAGATCCAGTTACTGATGCTATATATTTAACTATCCTGGATTTCATGTACAGAACAACATTAAAAAACAAACAAACAACTAACAACAATAGCAAAGTAAAATAGAAGAAAAACTTCGATCGAAAAGAAAGCAGAAAATATTAAAAACCAGAACAAATTTAAAAGGGGAGATCAAAGGGGAGATGAAATGATAAGGTGCTGATTTTTAACTTTACTGAGATGCTGGCCATACCAAATAAACATATCCCATGTGCTCCCACAGCTGGAACTTGGTGAGAAGGAACACGTTTTAGTTAAGTACCCACCATTTTATAATAACCAAAGTCATAGAACGATAGGTGAACGGTTACGAAATAAAGATTAGTCACACCGGAGAGGCCATGTTTGCTATGGAAACCCCAATACCTTCCGACCTGTTTTATGTTCTGCAAACCTCCACTGAGCATCCGTAGGGAAAAACATCACTGGTCTTACTCAGGAAATTTGTTCGGAGAGAAGTAATCTGGTGTTCCAGCACAATACCCCAGCACGCCAGAGTATCACTGGGAATCACTAGGACGCGTGTAGTGGCCACGTTGGCCATAGTACGGAAGTCATGGCGCAATGCCTGAGGATGAAGCTAGAGATGTAGGCCAACGGGGATTGTTTTGTATACAAAAAATGAGACATTTTGTTTTGTTTACATCTTTATCATGGAAATTTCAAACATATCCATAAAGAGAGGGCAGTGCTAAAAGTTGCTGACACTGGTCATGCTGCTTCATCGATTTCAGCATTTGTCTATCAGTTTTGTTTAATTTTTCTCTTCTTATCACTTCCATCCCAGAAACAATTTAGAGTAAGTTTATTTTGTTTGTTCATGCTTTGATATACATATTTAATGAAAAAGAACTTAAAATATAAATATACTTAATGTATACATAAAATAAACCATGATTTCTTAAAATGATTGAATGGCTCGGTCAGGTTGGCCCTAAAACATCTCCGTATTACATTTGCTAACATGTCTCTTGTTGTTGTTGTTAGGGGCCATCAAGTGGTTTCTGACACTGCGCACCTTCTTTTAAATCTCTTGTAATGTGTAATTGTTTTCTCTCAACTTTAAAAAAATGCTACTTATCTCTTTAAGTCATTAGGTTATTTGTCTTATAGAATTCTGACACTCTGGATTTGGCTACCTGTCATGTTGAGATAGCCTTGGACATGCTAGGTTTCCCTGGCGTATCCTATGAACTAATTAAAGGCGTGAATATACTCAGGTGTAATTATTTTGTCAAGAATACTTCCTGCAAGACTGTGTGTTGCCTTTACCTTGCAGGCAAGACCAAGCCATTCGGTCTTTGCCAGCGCAGGCAGGACGCACTCATATTTTGTACCCTGTTTCCCCGAAAATAAAACAGTGTCTTATATTAATTTTTGCTCCCAAAGATGCGCTAGGTCTATTTTCAGGGGATATCTAATTTTTCCATGA